AAAAAGCAATCCCTGATATTTTTTTAAACACTGTAATATAATCTTTGACAGCTCTTCATACGTTGCTTTGTATAAAATGCTCAAAACAGCAAATGTAAGTTTAACTGTAGTTATTCTTTGGTTCTTTCGGTAAAGTCACGTATAAAGAAAAAATAATAAATTAAATATATACGTGACTTTACCGAAAGAACCAAAGAATAATTCCTGCAGTCACGAAAGCTCCAAGTTAAGATTTAGCTGTAGTGTTGTCCAATAAGCTCAAGCCTGTGCTTATTCAGCATGTGGTTCAATATAATCACAGCTCGCATCCACGTCGAGCAAATAAGGTGTGCCCATTCGGCACATTTATAAAATATGAATAAGAACATAAAATATTGTTTCTTCACACCAAGTTCTCGATTGAACAAAGCGTCCGATTTGTAAAACGTGTGAGATAGAATTTGCGTTTCATAATGTTAAATGTTCTTTGGTGTGAAATATAGCAGATAAAATATGGCATGACTTATCGGCATAACAAGCCAGGCATCTAGAATGATGCAGGGCACACACAGCGCACACCTGTTTAAGGACGTAGAAAATATCCCTTATTCAGCCTGAAATGAGGACCTGTTGGTCGTGCTGCTTGCGAACACTTCATAGGCCCCATAGGGCAGACATTAAGAGGCGGTAGAAAGTGTACCGAATCCATCCAGCTTCATTGTCTCACCAGTCTTGACGCATCATCATATCAACCATGCTTATCCAATGCTGGCTGAAGGCCTGAAGGCCTCCCATGTCACCACCACTCCTCCCAATGTCCTGCTATACCACAATCCATCTCGCACATGCGGATTCACGAATTGCTCCATCTCCACAGTGGCTCTTCTCTTTGCAGGGCATTTAAAATGTGTCCCTAGTGTGGATAAAGTGGCCTATTGAAATGACTGAATCTTTTCTTATCTTTATATTTCCTGGATAAATCGGATGACTTATTAAGCTTTTTTCACAGATATCAACACCTCCGCATTAGTTATGCAACATCGCCTTGCCGGGACTATTATTATTAATAGCACAAGTGGAATATAAAACTGGAGGGGGAAACAGAGAAACCAATAAAATTAACAATTAGCGTCAGGAACTGTTGTGGCATGCATGACGTGGCCACCACATAACAATGCAACGATGACGGGACACGAGTGGAAGGGGGTGAGGCACCAATGATTATCCCCTCAAGTAAACTGACCACACAGGAGAACAAAGAAAAACCGTTCCATTTATACAACCCAGATAACACAACGGGTTTTCAAACAGGAACGCGAAGATAAAAATCCACCAATGTAATGGACCTGCCTGGTGGTACGCCAAGCGCCGTTTGAGGGCACCTATTTGGGTGATGGTTAAAAGCACTTCCCGTTTGCTACGCCGTACCATGCACTGTACCTAAAACGTTGAGGCTTAAGAGTATGAGGTCTTTAAATTCCCACTGCCAGCCTCTTTCTTAGAAGGTCATTAAACTGCCACAGCAAACAAGGGGTGTGGTTGTCCATAACTGGGGTCCTGTTCATTATTGAAAATGTATTACAACATTGTTAGAGCTCGGGAAATAACACAATGCGGCACTGTACAAAGACAAACATCCCAAGGATGATGATAGCCTTGACAGACTGTAGGGGCAAGTGCTATTAGCGACGTAGCACCTAAGAATGCCGGCACGGCACACGAGGTGGTGGGTGGCCAGCAACACGTCCGGCCGCCTTTGTCTCTCCCAGTCGCGATGTTTTTACTACACACCGCACCAGGTACTCATTTGAGGCCGAGTCGACCTAGGGGAGGGCCCAGGACTGTGAACGGGAATCGAACTCGGGTCTCCGGGTTAGTAGTGCGGCGCGCTACCCACTAACACCACCACTGATTTGATAACGAGTCACATCTCCAAACCTCCACGGATCTGCTTTGGTGACACACATCGCATTGAGATCTGAAAGTCCCAGGTGTTCGTCAGCATCTTGGCCGAGAATAAATCAACAATCACCGATAATAAAGACAATTATTGAAGCCAAATTGTCATGCGTTGCTGAAGATCAATAAAGTGAGGGGTTTTTTTGGTAATCGCATAAGATGTTTCCAACATTTCACTCACGCAAATGACGGGATGCAGTAATTTGAATTATTTATTCACGGATCATAACAGGTTTGCATGCGTTCCATCGTAGGATGTCGACGTGACTGACAGCTATGGGTAGAGAGGTCATTATTAACCCACTGGGTGGATCACAACTTATAATGGCATCTTTACCGACAAGCTACAGTACAATGCAGTGTTGGATGTACCCATACACGTGGTGGAGACAACACTCACCCTTAATACAGGTTGCTTGGGTTAGATTGCGTAAATATATAAATGTGTCGTTAAACCCGCCACCACCCGACACGGCCAATTCGTTACTAGTACAGCACTACACCGGTGTGTTGGAGAGCAAATCCACAACATTTGCAATCCGAGTACGACGTTTCATGGCCGTGTCTCCACGACACTTGATCATCGTCGCACTGAAGCAAGATGAGCAACCCTACACATTTTGGGCCGAGTCAACCTGCAGGAAGTCGCCCAGCCCCACCCAGCCTGTGCGCTTCGGACAAGCACACACCACGTCGCAGCCGTCGTTGCGAAGCACGCACACACACACCACAGACACACACACACAGCACACAGGGACACACACACACAGCACACAGGGACACACACACAGCACACACACCACAGACACACGCACACACACAGACACACGCACAGACACACACACAGACACACACACACCACAGACACACACACCATAGACACACACACACCACAGACACACACACACCACAGACACGCACACACACACAGAGACACACACACAGCACACAGGGACACACACACAGCACACACACCACAGACACACGCACACACACAGAAACACGCACACACCACAGACACACACACCACAGACACACACAGCGCGCGCACACACACACCACACAGCACACACCGCACAGACACGCACACACAGAGACACACACACAGCACACAGAAACACGCACAGACCACAGACACACGCACAGACACACACCACAGACACACACACCACAGACACACACACACCACAGACACACACAGCGCGCGCACACACACACCACACAGCACACACACCACAGACACACACACACCACAGACACACACAGCACACACAGCAGACACCACAGTTACACGCACACACACCACAGACACACCACAGACACACACACCCCACAGACACACACACAGCACACACACCACAGACACGCACACACACAACACACACACAGCAGACACCACAGTTACACACACAACACAGCACACACACAGCACAAACACACACACAGCACGCACGCACACACACAGCACACACACCACAGACACGCACACACACAACACACACACAGCAGACACCACAGTTACACACACAACACAGCACACACACAGCACAAACACACACAGCACGCACGCACACACAGCACACACACCACAGACACGCACACACACAACACACACACAGCAGACACCACAGTTACACACACAACACAGCACACACACAGCACAAACACACACACAGCACGCACGCACACACACAGCACACACACCACAGACACGCACACACACAACACACACACAGCATACACCACAGTTACACACACAACACAGCACACACACAGCACAAACACACACACAGCACGCACGCACACACACAGCACACGGCACACACAGACACCAGTCACTTACAGGGGGCTAGGTGTACCAGGCTGTGTGTACCAGGCTGTGTGTACCAGGCTAGGTTCACCAGGCTGTGTGTACCAGGCTGTGTGTACCAGGCTGTGTGTACCAGGCTAGGTGCACGCGACAGAGCCGCCAGGGGGGTGATGATGATGGTGATGATGGTGGTCATGATGGTGATGATGGCGATGACGGTGACGATGATGATGGTGACGATGATGGTGGTGACGATGATGACGGTGACGATGATGGTGGTGACGATGATGATGGTGACGATGGTGGTGGTGACGATGATGGTGGTGACGATGATGACGGTGACGATGATGGTGGTGACGATGATGATGGTGACGATGGTGATGATGGTGGTGATGATGGTGGTGATGATGATGGCGATGATGATGACGACGATGATGGCGATGAATGATGGTGATGATGTTGACGATGATGGCGATGATGATGATGATGATTGTTTTTGTGTAACGGCTTGACCCAGACTAGACGCACAGCAATCCCAGCAGGCGTCACGGCGTTGAGCATGAGATCGACGTGGAAGACAACAGTCGGGGTAATGACCGCACAGTCAATCCGCCGCTGCCCACGCCATGCCGGCCACGGGGGTGGTGTGACCATACTTCACCACCACCACCACCACGCAAGTGAGGCGGAGGCAGGAGGAACTACGATCACTCGCCACTGATGTTGACCGTGGCCCGGAAATCATCGTCGGGGCAGCACCGCGTTAACCACTGCGCCACCGCTCCTCCCCACCCCTAACGCGATTCGTCACCACCACCAGCCATGGTCAGTCCACTGCTGGATGATCAGGCCTCCACAAAACCACCGCTCACAATAACGATCCAGCCACGACACGTGCACACGAAGCCGCGTATCCCCTCGGACAGACAGACAGCAGCAGCAATAAGCTACGGGCACGGACAGAGATATACCAAAAGGACAACGCCTATTAGACGCAGTGCCACTCGAATGTTCTCACTCACACAGCAGCAGCAGCAGCAGCAGCCATAGGCGGTGGCAACACCTTCAACACGCATGGCTCTCGCTGCTGCTGCTTCCTATCTGCAAAACCACAGCCGCGAGCCACGGTGCCACGACTGGCTCCGACGTCGCGAAACGCTTTCCCGCCACGTCGCCGTGTTGTTGTTGTGCTGCTGCTGCTGCTGTTGTTGTTGTGAGTGAAGTGAAGCGATGGATCGGCTGTCGCTCTCACCAATGCGTTGCCCGACGGGAGAGCTGAACGCGTTGAGCAGCAGGAACGCCATGGCGGAACACGTGACCCGGTCACGCGCGCGCGAGTAGCCCCCACCCCCTCCACCACCACCCACTCTTCAGCAGCCCCCACCCCCTCTACTACCCACTCTTCACCAGCCCCCACCCCCTCCACCACCACCCCCTCTTCAGCAGCCCCCACCCCCTCCACCACCACCCCCTCTTCAGCAGCCCCCACCCCCTCTACTACCCACTCTTCAGCAGCCCCCACCCCCTCCACCACCACCCACTCTTCACCAGCCCCCACCCCCTCCACCACCACCCCCTCTTCAGCAGCCCCCACCCCCTCTACTACCCACTCTTCAGCAGCCCCCACCCCCTCCACAGCAGCCCCCACCCCCTCCACCACCACCCACCCACCCACCCCCTCCACCACCACCCACCCACCCACCCCCTCTACTACCCACTCTTCACTAGCCCCCACCCCTCCACCACCCACTCTTCAGCAGCCCCCACCCCCTCCACCACCCACTCTTCAGCAGCCCCCACCCCTCCACCACCCACTCTTCAGCAGCCCCCACCCCTCCACCACCACCCACTCTTGAGCAGCCCCCACCCCCTCCACACCAGCCCCCACCCCTCTACCACCCACTCTTCACCAGCCCCCACCCCTCCACCACCCACTCTTCAGCAGCCCCCACCCCCTCCACCACCCACTCTTCAGCAGCCCCCACCCCCTCCACCACCCACTCTTCAGCAGCCCCCACCCCTCCACCACCCACTCTTCAGCAGCCCCCACCCCTCCACCACCCACTCTTCAGCAGCCCCCACCCCCTCCACCACCCACTCTTCAGCAGCCCCCACCCCTCCACCACCCACTCTTCAGCAGCCCCCACCCCCTCCACCACCCACTCTTCTTCAGCCCCCACCCCCTCCACCACCACCCACTCTTCAGCAGCCCCCACCCCCTCCACCACCCACTCATCTTCAGCCCCCACCCCTCCACCACCCACTCTTCTTCAGCCCCCACCCCCTCCACCACCCACTCTTCTTCAGCCCCCACCCCCTCTACTACCCACTCTTCAGCAGCCCCCACCCCCTCCACCACCCACTCTTCAGCAGCCCCCACCCCCTCCACCACCCACTCATCTTCAGCCCCCACCCCTCCACCACCGACTCTTCTTCAGCCCCCACCCCTCCACCACCCACTCTTCTTCAGCCCCCACCCCCTCCACCACCCACTCTTCTTCAGCCCCCACCCCTCCACCACCCACTCTTCAGCAGCCCCCACCCCCTCCACCACCCACTCATCTTCAGCCCCCACCCCCTCCACCACCCACTCTTCAGCAGCCCCCACCCCCTCCACCACCCACTCTTCTTCAGCCCCCACCCCTCCACCACCCACTCTTCAGCAGCCCCCACCCCCTCCACCACCCACTCTTCTTCAGCCCCCACCCCCTCTACTACCCACTCTTCAGCAGCCCCCACCCCTCCACCACCCACTCTTCAGCAGCCCCCATTGCTACTGTGATGACGTCACCACGGCCTGCCCTCCCCCACTCGTGACGTCATCACGCACTTTAACTAACTAACTAATACACTACTTTATCCACTGCAGGCCCACTCAGCTATAATCTCTTCTTCAGGAGTAACCTGGCCACAAAAGATACATCAACGAACATCGTCACGGCTCCTTTTAAGGAATCAGATCAGAATATTTATTTAGACTGCAGAAGAAATCCGATGAGCTATAAAGCGCTTTTGTTTCACAGATGTCCAGCATAGACGAGTAAAAACGTTACAACGACAAAGAGAACAAACAAAAAAACCGATAGTAACGCAAAGTACAAGAAAGTTAAACAAATAACCAAAATACATACAGTACAAATACAATTTTACTTCTTTTTCACGAGCAACCTGGCCACAAATGGCAGCTCAACAAAGTGGCTTGTCAATATCATGGGGGAAATTTATAGCAGAAAAGTATTAAACCACTAAACTATTTTTATTTTACCAGGCAATGCACATTGAGCTAAAATAGCTCTTTTACAGAAGTTAATTGGTCACAAATGACAATCTCAAATAAATTTTGATTTAAAGCTTTCGTGACTGCAGGGATTCTTATTATTGGTTCTTTCGGTAAAAGCACGTAGAAGGGAAATAATAAAATAAAATATATAATATATTTTCTAATATATCACATATTTTTATTTTTTATATTTTTATTATGTTATTATTTCCCTTCTACGTGACTTTACCGAAAGAACCAATAATATGAATCTCAAATAAGTTGCCTATCTTTATAAGGAAGCAGTATGAAGGCCACAGTGTTATTTGACAAATATGTGGCATTTTAGTTGTTACCATTTGTGCTTGTGCACCACTGCCAACACAAACAGCATCACCAAATAATTATTTGACCTGGTATATTACATTGAAAGTTGAATGTTAGGGTTTGTTTACGTATGATGTCATCGCGCAAGCACGTAGCATGATGTCATCGCGCAAACACGTAGCATGATGTCATCTCGCAAGCTCATAGCATGATGTCATCGCTCAAGCACGTAGCATGATGTCATCGCGCAAACACGTAGCATGATGTCATCACCGCCAGGAGGGGTTACGTAGGCGGAGCCATGTTCCTGGGCTGTTTGCGCGTGTCGTCATCACGCACGCCCGTCTCGTCATCACGCACGCTCGTGTCGTCATCACGCACGCTCGTGTTGTCATCACGCACGCCCGTGTCGTCATCACGCACGCTCGTGTCGTCATCACGCACGCCCGTGCTCTGCATCGCGTAAGAACCGAGATTATCGTCCGTGTTGACTCAACATCGTCATATCGCGATTATCGTCCGTCAATAATTGTATGTATTCTTGAAATATATCGTTTCTTGACAGAAATGCCTAATTGAATGCCTTCAATCAAAGTATGACGATCACTTAAAGTGATCAACGATTTATATATTTACACATTTAATTCGCGCCTTGTAACACATTTTCCCTCATAGAGTAACAACATTGTCGTTAGGTGACGTCTCCTCATTACCGTTGAAGTATTTCGCAGGTAAATTTGACGCCCGAGTTCTATTCCAGCTCACGGTCAACACAAGTGGACCGTTGCTGGGCCTCCCCTAGGTCGACTCAGCCTCAAATGTGTAGTAAGCATCGCCACTTGGGGAGACAAAGGCGGTCGGGCGTGGTGTTGGCCACCCCCCCCCCCTCGTGTGCTGCTCGCTAACAACACTTGCCCCCACAGTTTGTTACAGGCGACACGGGAGGGGATCTTTAACTTTGCAGACTTTGTGTAACTTTATTGACAAGGTCACGTAGGTAAAATAATAATAATAAAGTAGCTATTTTTATTTTATTTTAGTATTATTTTTTACGTAGGTAAATAATAATAAAAAATAATGAATGCGCACAACTCTTTTATTATTATTTTACTTTATTATTTTTTTTGCGTAGGTAAAATAATAAAAATAATAAAAGAAAACATCACGTTTATTATTATTTTATACGTAGGTAAAATAATAATAATAAAATAAGACTGAATGATAACACATTTATTAGTTTATTTTATTATTATTTTATACGTAGGTAAAATAATAAAATAAAATAATAAAAAATGAAAATAACTCATTTATTATTATTATTCTTATTATTTTTACCTACGTGACTTTACCGAAATAACCTAAGAGTATGAATCCTTGCAGTCACGAAAGCTTCAAATCTAGAATTTATTGACAAGTTTTAGAGGCCGTCTTGCTTTCCGGAGCGTCTTATAATCCGCAGAAGTCGGTATTAATTTGTACTTAGTGTTAAATATCGTACGCGATACTGTATTTAGTGTGCCACTACTTACGCGGCAAATAATGGGTAGTAATGCGCATTAAACGTTACAATGTAATGCGTGTACGCATTATCATCACTCGTATCGCTGATGAACGTAATATCCATGACGCGAATAAGAGTTATAAAAGATTGTAAAGTTACGATTATTATGATTCATGTTGAGTGAATGTATAGTTAATTCGTACTTGAACTGCGCCAATGCAACAACACAATACATTACCAATTACAAAGTTAGGGGAAGCTGATATCGCGATAATCGTCATATCACGAAAATTATCATTTTATCGTGAAGACGATATCGCAATAATTCCATAGAATACTTGGCATTATCAAAAGCTTGTGCAAAACTCCCAGAGATTATCCGTGTTCAAGTCCGATTGAATGACAATCGTGTGTGCATAATAAGTGCGCTGATTAAACAGCGCACAGGTGGATCAATGTTTGTGTTTACAGCAGGAAAACTGTAGAACGATACTCTTAGGCTTTTTCGGTAAAGTCACGTAAAAGAATAGAAGTAATAATATAAATAAAATAAAATTATTTTCTATTATTATTTATATTATAATAAAATAATAGAAATAATAATAGAAATATTTTTCTTTCCTTTTAATTCTATTATAATAGAAATACATTTATTTTATTTCTATTATGATTTCTATTATTTTTATTATTTATTTCTATTTTTACCTACGTGACTTTACTGAAAAAACCTAAGAGTACGATTCCTTGCAGTCACGAAAGCTTCAAATCTAAAACTGTAGAACGATTTCGACTGCATGAGTCTCATCAGCAGTGCGTGCTTCGTGTCGAGTTTGCGATGACGAATCCTCGTCGCGAGTAGAACTCGCACAAGAGATTGGGACACATCTATGGGTAGACTGATGAACACAAACGCGTTACGCTTTCTGACAATAAAACGGGTGTTAAGATTCATATTCTTTGGTTCTTTCGGTAAAGTCACGTAGGTATAAAATAAAAAAAATACCTACGTGACTTTACAGAAAAAAACCAAAGAGTATGGATTCCTGCAGTCACAAAAGCTTTAAATCAAAGGTGTTAAGATGTTCAAACGCCAAAAAGTTACCTATTTCAAGGCATCAAGTCTGCGTTGACCAAACATACTTGGGGCAAAACATGCAAGCACACGTGCTCTGATAATATATACATTGTCTTTTAAACGTATTGCCCTACACCAATTAGTTAAGATGTTATCGTATAATGTTTGTTTGCATGTTTTGTTCTCAAGTATGTGTGGTTTAATGCAGACTTTATGCCTGGAAATAGGAGTTATGGGTAGACTGTTCCCCATCGCAGGAATTTGGAATCGCCTTCTCAATGAGTTTAACTCCACCCAGTGGTGGCTTCATCACACAGGAGGTTGAGTTGCTGGGTGAGTGGTGGGGGTTGTGTGACAAGGGAGTTATTATTTTTTCACCACTTTGGTACCAAAGCGCAGTGCCCATTGTTGAATGACAGGAAATGACACATCTAACGATGTGAACAGGAATACACAAGACAATAAAACAATGCCAATACAATGACATATTGATGTTAAAAAAAGTGCGAGATCTGTGAGACTTGTTAGCCGTCCGAGAGACAAGTTGCAGATGTTAGCACTAAATACATTGAAATACTGTAGCCTATACACGATTCTCGAGACTCACAACTATCAAAGGGTCCTATCAATTTCACAAATGGCTGGTGAAGGAGTATTATTGTGTGAAGTGATGGGGGGAAGGGAAGTTGTTAAAAGGGGTCAAAGAGTATAGAGGGTGTGTAAGAGGGGGGAGATGTGATGGGTGGTGGAGCAGTGATGTTGTGAGTTGTCTGGAAGAGGGATGCGTGCGATGGGCGGTGAGGGGAGGAAGCGTTGGCTTGAGGCAAGGCCGTAATTATAATATATATTGGGGGGGGGGGGACACATACCTCCCAATACTCAAATATGCCCATAATGTGGTTATGGGTGTACTTTATTAATCCCTAATCTCAAACATTACATACAATGAAGCAAGAAAAGGTAAAAAAGAAAAAAACAGAGCAATGTAATATTGTAAATAAATTAAATAAAAAGTCCACCCCATGTGTTAGTGAATTTTTTTCTATTTTAGGCAGAAAATTAGTTTTCAAATTTTTTTTTTCTGGGGGTAACCCCCAGACCCCCTGGAAAATATTGGTCCTTCCCAATGTTGACTCCATGGCTACAGCCTTGGCTTGAGGTGATGCGGCACAGGGCAGTTGTTGCGGGGATCGTGGCTCGAGAGGGTGTTGATGGCAGGGCATTCAAGGCTGGATGAATTGCAATTGCTTGCGGTTGGACGCCTGGTATCGCCAGCGGCCACGAGGGGGCGCTAATGAGACCACACGTTCGTTTCACGCGTCGGCATTCGCGACCAATATAATCCAGGTTTTTTTGGGTTGGGGGCCATCCATAAATGACGTCACGCACCTGGGGGGGGGGGGGGTCAGACATTTGCGACGATGTGTGACGAGGGGGGGGTTTGAGAAATGTGACGTCACATCAAAATGCGCAACTTTAAATAAATATAGACAACACGTTCTACTTAATTAGACTTTTTAATAAATATTTTCTCCTACAACATCAGAGTGCAGCGCCACATTAAATACGCACTACAATGAAACTAGTTTAAAGCGATTTGAAGCATGTTTTATTTTGGGGGGGGGGGCAGAACGTTGTGACGTCATATTTGAGGGGGGGGGGTCTGACTTTTTGTGACGTCGTGTGACGAAGGGGGGGGGGGGGGAGTAAAAATCGTCCAAAATCGCGTGACATCATTTATGGACGGCCCCTAAATGTGGTTGAGAAAGGGTGAGGAGCGTTGATGGGGCATGGGAAACTGGGGGGAATGAGTCATGGGGATGAAGAAGGGATGGGGTGTTAGTGCTGTTTGAATATTTGGCTACTTAAATATCCACACGTTAATCCACTTCGTTGGGCTATCATTTGTTATCAGGTCGCTTCTGACAAAGAGTTATATGGCTCAGTGGGCCTTACCTGGTAAAATGGAAACAAAATGTAATGTAAGTTATCTAAGTGTGAAAATGAGTCGTTCATGTACGTTTCAGCTGCGGTGACGTACGGTTATCAGTATGGAGGCAGACGCACCCGTCATTGTCAGCTCCTCCCTGAAGGTGAACTCTAAAGCAAAAGCATGATCGACATCATCAAGCAACCTCATTATTATTAGCCTTTTGTTCCTTATAGATGTGCAGATGTTGTTGCACACTTGGCATGGAGCCCATTCGTCAAGATAAAGTGGTGTCCTATAGCTATGGCACCCGCACTTTGACAACCAACGCGAATCACAATAACCAAAAACATCGCAAGTGAATCATCACATGTTCACATGTATGCGTGTGTGTAAACGAATCTGGTGTATTGCATCGACTGAAAATATTGTTGGCTCCGTTAGGGGCCGTCCATAAATGACGTCACGCACCTAGGAGGGGGGGGGGTGATTTTGAGAAATGTGACGTCACATCAAAATGCGCAACTTTAAATAAATATAGGCAACACGTTCTGCTTAATTAAATAGACTTTTTAATAAATGTTTTCTCCTACAACATCAGAGTGCAGCGGCACATTAACTACGCACTACAATGACAATAGTTTAAAGCGATTTGAAGCATGTTTTTTTTGGGGGGGGGGGGCAGAGCTTTGTGACGTCATATTTGAGGGGGGGGGGTTGACTTTTTGTGACGCCGTGTGACGAAGGGGGGGGGGTGAAAAATCGTCCAAAACCGCGTGACGTCATTTATGGACGGCCCGTAACACGGAGGAGATCGCTCCTTGTCCTCTGCTGCTTCTAAGTCTAGCACAGGGAGTCGCCAACCTGCGGCTCTGGAGCAGCATGCGGTGGCTCCTTGGCTGCCCCCTTGCGGGCAGCCGTTTATTTTTTGTTTGAAAAAAAATAAAAAAATAAAATTGACCGTAAAGATAATTGATTAAATATGGCAAGGAATGTGTCACTGTGGAATGTCTTGGTGACGATTAAATGTATAATAGTCAAACTATATTGTTGAAGAATAACTAAACGGGAAAAGCCTAAATATATGCAGTTTATTCCATCACCTATTTTGTTTATCGAAGTCAGAATGTGTTTGTCATCTGCTGTATACTTGCTATGTAGAAGTCGCTCTTCGTGTGATGAGGCTCTCGAACTATTTTGGCCAACAACCCGAAAAAATGGCTCTTCTTCTTTCAAAAGTTGCCGACCACTGTTCGAGAATGACTCCCCTGGTCATCCGCCAGGCTGTACCCCCTCTTCAAGGTCTACCTGTGGTTATTTTTCCATTATACTCCAACCTTCCTGATACTCTTGCCTTTCCTCCCAACATGTGCCCCTCACTTTTGTACAGCATCTTCATGTGGTGTCACATTCATGAACTTTACTGCTCCGAATGAAAGCTGGCTTGTTGCGTCCCTCGTGTTTCAAGGAGCACGAACTCATCCAGAAGTTAGCGGAGTGCAAGATGAAGGTGCGCTACTCTGATTCCGTTGGACCAGGCATCGTTATTTTGCCACGTTCAGGTAGAGTTGATCGCACCTTCTCTCACTCACTCACCTGTGTGCCACGTACGGCATTGTCTCGCGACAAGGTGGCCGGCAAGGTTGACTCAGAGTCAGAAGGTTGCGACTTCAAATCCTGTTTTACTCAGGACTTCGTGGGGATTTCAAGTGGTTGTCCTTTGAAGACCGCCCCCATCCCCCGTCATAGGAATGTGGAATTTTCGGTACTGGGCCAGGCTGTAAACTGTCGATGAGCACTGCCTCATTGCTCATATGAGCAGGAAATCCCTACGAGTAGTGAATGACAAGTCGACTAACACACAAAGGGCCATTTGTCTCACTGCAGCGAGTATGGCTGTAATGGTGCAGCGATTCTTATTGATCTTGCGACACGTGTATCGAGTCACGTCACCTCTCTGTTGGAGTACAAAAGCAGCACGGCTGACACCAATGGTTAACCAGGTTATCCTGTGTACTGTGACAGGTGTTATGGTCTCAGCCCGTTCGCGAATAAGTGCATTTTAAATTTTGCCATTGCGTTTTTTGTTGCATTAAGCCCTCCTTGAAAACAGAAAAGTTCGTAACCCACAGCTCACTCGCCTAGGGGTTGTGGTGCGATAGGCTCGTCAAGAATCTGAGCGCACCAAATAAATTGTGGCCTCAATACAGCATATAATCTGCCATTGTTGAGGATTCCAGTGGTGAAAGATGGCTCATAGATAGCAGAGTCTTGGTGTTGATGATGAAATATGAACGAAACCTAAATATTATAAAATTAACACGTGTTGATGAATACTGCACCACATGTTAACAATAGTGCTCTGTGAGGCGTTGATTCCAATGCCTCACAGATGTAATATTATAAATTAACTTTTTTACTCTGTATTGCTTTGGCAAATACGCACTACTCTATTGATCAAATCATTGGGCTGCAAGACGTTATTATTATTAAGCATTTTGTTGCCGCAGACTATATTATAACTGATATTACTGCAATGTTTTCAATTTGTCACGCGTACTTTAAAAGCAAAATAGAAATAATGTGAATCGGCATGCACGTTTTTTGTTGTTGTTGCAAAAAACTGGATGAAAATCAGCGTGAAAATAATACAATTTCACATTTTGTGATAAAAAAACATTACAATTCACAATTATTTAAAATAAAGCAATATCCCAATAATATTATTGGTAAACGTAACGGATATTACTTTCTAACGCTGAAGTTACAACTGCGCACGTTTTCAACACGTGAAGTCCCTCGCAGCGTCGAAGGCTGCCCCGCTCTGGAATACGCAATTTTCCCACCAAGCAAAGTGTCCAGTTCTGTTATTTTGCGGCTGAGTGCAGGTGTGGCCTTTAAGCTTGTCACGGTGGAGGAAATGTCTGAGGGAATGAAGAGCCCCGTCCTGCTCGAGATTGAAAAGTTCTCATCGGTGCATCGCAACAGCTTTCTCTTACTCATCGCCAGCTTCCACGGACAGAAGGAAATGCAGAGTATGCACCACCTGCAGCTGAGGTATGGGGGGGAAGACAAGTTTTTCACTTGGTCACGTGAGCGTGATGCCACCCGCACGAGAGATCTAACACGCACAGCCTTTGGTTTCTTCGAATTAGTGGGATGCTACGTGGACAATTTCGCAGTGTTCTTCAAACGAAGCTTTACCGAACGCGCGTCGTGCGGATAGTGTGTGATACTTTGTGTTGCGAGCGTGTTGCATAACGCACGCAGGTGTGAGTATTGATTGTTGGGGAATTTCAGTCGTACGGGAAGCGAGCCCACCATCATCTCTCTCTGCCCACATCGCGTGCCGTCCGCTCGCACTCTCGCTGCCGCGTGCTGTCTTCGTATTGCTGGGTTTTTTTTACCACACACGAATTGCTAGAGCTCACATAATTAACGATAGCTATGTAACGATTCCACTATAGCCTAGTCGACGTTTTTTTTACGTTTCATTTACACACACGCACACTATATGTTTTACTTGCAATAAAATACGCTGCGTTTGTTTCCACCGCATTAGTTGAAATGTATGACTAAAGCAAGCAATGTAATTGTTAAAATTGCTCATGAATATAAAAAACATACATTTGCAAATGATATACATATCGTGTGCAGTCATTGAAAAACATTTGAAATGGAATATAAACTAAAACACATCGTTTATCTTTGGAAAGCCTAAAAATGTGAACAAAGAAACACTGGGGAAAACATTGCAAAATTCCAATGAAGCATAGAGAGAGAGAGACATACGCGCATCCTGAGAAATATACTGAGGCACGGGGAGAGGAACACTTGAATCATGCAACAAAATTCAATAAAAGTCAGTGGGCTTTGGCAGGGCACGTGGCGAGAAGGGATGGTCGGTTGTCGAACCTTACAATGTCAGAATCTGAATATTTATTTATACTGTATGTTGAACTTCTTTCGCACCGTACATAGCCAACCGTGCTAATCGGAGGTGCTGGGGAAAGGACAACAAACTAAACACAAAAAGTAGTTCTGAAGAAATTAGTTTTCAATTTAGATTTAAAAGTGCGTAGCTCCAGTGGCTTCCTGATAACAACAGAGAGGCAGCCGAGAGATAGAACACACCTCGGAGTACGTCCAGTGTGGAGATGAAGCAATGATATGAGCTCGTGTGCAAGGGCTATATGGATTAAGCATCATCGCTGGACCGTGAGATATGATGACGGCTTTATCCAGCGGTGGATGGATCATGGCTGATGATAATTTGTTTGGAAAACCTAAAATGTTGAATTCACTCTACAGCATTCAGTCTTCAACAAGACAATATGCATGATTGCATGTGCCTCTGAATGTCCTTTTAAGTTCAATGTGTGCACGTTATAGAATTCAATAATGAATGAATATGCGGTTTGATTGTCTATTATGGTAAAAACTAAATATCAGAAGGCGTGTTCGACAAACTGCGTAAAGTTGCTCATGCGCCTACGAGTGCTCACTCCTCAATATCATTCTGTCCAGGAAGCACCCGTTCCCACAAATACAGATCACTTTGAAGAACTGAAGTTTTTAAACATTGTGGAAAACCATATTCGTGTTTTACAATGTCGGATTAACAAACAGCGATACATTTCAGAAATTGTGGATTTACTTAAGGGGTTTGTCTCTTAAGGTCGTAATATAAATATAAGTGATGTATTGGGTATTGTGAGAAGGAGATCAGTGTGAATGTTGTTTAACAGTGTACATTTTTTCTGAACTATATGAAGATGTCACGTGAGGTACAGACGTCACGTTCGAGTTAGGAGATGGGTTACTGTGTTTAAGGTAATGTCCGTGTGGTGATTCAGAGAGCTTGACTTTAACAAAAGCGACTTGCAAGGAAAGTATTATGCCCTCTGCGTATTCGTGAATGCGGAAGATGTCGGTACAAGAACAAATATGTACGGCACTATAACATTCTGAGCAGAAAAACTTTAACTGAACAAACAGCATGCTTGTAGATGCAGTGCAATGCCTTGCAAGCATACGCAATTGACAGTGTGTAACTCATAAACGCTTCACCGCTCGATTTATACACGTATTTTACAGATTCTTAACGACGAATCTGAAAATCATGCCAGTGCACAACATTAAGGAAGTGATGTCAGTCATGTCCACCATCACGCAGGTACGCACGCACATCTCACCGAAAAAAATAAATCCACGTATAGCTTTTAAATTGAACCGTTAAGATGCCCCCGAACAATGGACTCCCAATCATGAGCAACACTTTTCCCTTTCCACGAAGCCCGTCAAATGCGATGCGAAGGGAATTCAAGTATTGCTGTTCTCCCCAATCAGCCCGCAGGTGTACTCTGCAGAAGTTTGACCGCACGTTCATTGTGGTGGCGAGATAAAAAAAAAAGTAGGCACTGTAATATGTCAGAATCAGACTGTATTTATACAGGAGGAATCCGATGAGCTACAAAGCTCTGTTTTCACAGATGTCCGGTGGAGCCGGATGGCTCAGGGTGACAATGTTTATCTTTCTTGGAGAACTCAACTAGGATTGCAGAAATGAGAGGTTATATTTGATATTCATATTTATGAATGCAACTCGCAGACCACACGTCCTTTGGACTGGACCGTCCATCCTCCAGGCAGCCAGCAAAAGTTTTTCAACATTGTATAATAGTATGATTTAATAGCATGATAGCCTATCACACACGTTTCTGTGCTATACACGGCCGGGGTTCAGGGTGGGTGGGGGGGTTGGATGCGTGATGATGTGGGATGCAGGTGATGTCATCGCCGCACACGTGCCAGCCAGCCAGGAATCCAGCCAGAAAAACGTTGTCGAACATAGTATGATGGGAACCACTGTTTCATCTGCTTTGTTACAGATATTATAGTTTAAATGTGTATGTAGGACAGACTACTGAAGGATATTGTGTGAAGGCCTTCATGTCGCTTTAGGCCCAATGTCACATCACAGTGACATATTCACATGATTCAATTCAATAAACTTGTCAACTCTATTACAAACTTAGGAGTGCTAATGTTGCTGGTTGTTTGGCATTTCGGACCTTTGGATCTGTGCACAGAAACTGGATTTTTAAAAAAATGTTTGTTTCATCACCAGGAGTTAAAAATGTAAATAAAACGTCTTTATTGTTCTATTAACGGTTTAAATATTGCACATTCAGGTCACCTGTATGGTGCTTCGTGACTTACTTGTGTGCCATTAAACATGGCATAAATTATACATGATGATTAAATAAAACCATAATACAGGTTGCAATATCATTGTTCGTCTCAAAAATAAGATTGGTCACCTGAGCAGCATCAAGACCTGTATCGTAGGCACATTGACTTTCGCACCCTACGTAAGCCAACCGTGTTGATCGTAGCCGACCGCGGCTATCGCCGCAGATTGTGTGTGCCAACGTGCATTGACCATGCGCCGTTGCCTCTGCAGATGATGAGCAAACCCGTGGCTGATATCATGAAGCAGAAGATGGCCATGGTTTCCGCCATGGTCGTGAGCAAGAGCCCCGTTTGGCATCTTCTGCAGCACATAGACATCCCAGCTGAGAGTTCACCCCCTGGCCCCACCACAAGCTCGTTGATGAACAGGGATGACTAGGGGAACAGATTGATGCGTGAAACCCAGAGGTCGCAAACGGGTTTTGATTCCGTACCCATACCCGGCCGCACCAGGGTCGCAAATGGGCCGGGTACGGGTACCCGTTCCCTACCCGTACCCTTACCCTACCCGAAATGAGTGACAAACGGTTACTCACCAGTGACTCACGGCCTACCCGTACCCGTACCCGGCCGCACCGGGTATCGGGTAGGGTACGGGTATCGGGTACCCGGTTGCGACTTCTGGTGAAACCCCCATTGTTGGTTTTGTCTCACGTAGTGGCTGTCACATCGACAGACCTGTGTTGCAATATGGGGAAGCCAAGTGCCTTAAAACGTTCGACATCAATTCCTGCATTCGTTGTTATTTCACTCAAGGACCATTGTTTCTTGTTTCACAACTGGAAGTGTATTTTATTGAGTGGCCATGTTTCATACGTTACATCTTTAGCTATAGCATGAATGTGCATGGATCCATTGTTTTTTTTTACTAAAAAATAATTTTTTTGTAACTGCTTGATGAATGCCTCACTCCTGTGACACTGCAGTTTTGCTTGATTAATGGTAATTTATGTTTGTAATATTTTCGCTTCCTCGTTTGATGCAGTGTTTTGGTTTGATTTTATTGTTGTTGTTTCCGATTGCTTTACTTAATTGCTGTGCAATTTTTTTTTCTTTTGTCATTTTCTTGGCTCAGCGAATTTATTATTGAACGTTGAGTTATGTCGTGAAATATTTTCGATTTCCCACGTGACACCGTTGTTTTTTTGCTCTGATTTATATTCGCTTCATCGCTGAACCTCGCGCTATTTGTTTTGCTTTTGATAGTTTGGGTACCCAGGTCATTCTTGCAAATGAGACTCGTCCTTGGTCTCTTCCTGTTAAACAAAATAAACTTGGACTTGTGGTATCCTGTAGAGGCGTACGTTATGCTTTGTCCACGTGAACACCGATCTTTGACGTTGTGTTTAAACGATTCAACTAAGCATTTTAGCTCTTTAACCAGCTACCTTCACTGCCCAACCCTTTTTCATTGGTAAAAATGTATGTCTCGTGAGCCATGTTTTGTCTATTTCAGTAACTTAAAGCATTTCTTTTTGCCAAAGGTCCTTGGCACAGATTTCATGTAATTTTTAGTTTTTTTTCAAACCCCTCCCGTTTCGGTATGCGTCGTCATTGTGTATTTCACACAGCTCCGCAGTAGAGCGAGCAGCTCGCAATGAGATTACCAGTTCCAATCGAGACTGGAGCATTCACCACAGGCAGAGTTTGACTTCTATATTTGGAGGTATTTGGGGGGAGGCAGGAGTTCACTTTGTCCCTCACATTAGGAATCGAGGGTGCATGTAATTGATTAATTAATGCTCTTAATTGTAAATTACTGAAAATAAATTAATAAAGGCGTCCAGTTTGGGAAGGGCGTTGCCCCCCTCCCCTTGTCCCCCCGCAAACCCCACCCATGGGTTTTACTCAGTACATCATCTCTCCAAGCTTCCACAGAGGCTACGATACGGCTTAATACCATCGATTATACACTCACGTTGCAAATCTCACCTTGCCATACGAAAGAAGATCTTCTCCAGGGTCGATTAAATGAGTACCACTTTGGTGGGGGGGGGGGGGGAGTCAACAGAGATTTCCCAACAGAGAGACTGCTCCTCCCCGCCCCGACACTGGAACGTGGAATTTCCGCGACTGGCTCATGGCGGTAAACAGGAGATGAGCACCGCTACTGCAATGCTCATTCGAGTTGTAAATCAATCACCGATATGACAAAAATGTTCAGAGTTTATATTAAGTTAAACTTTCAAGTTAATTATTGCACCATATAATGTAGTGCATTTCGGTCTTATTGTGGCCCCGTGCGGCCTTGAGAATTGTCCTAGTTTTGGTTCAGTCAGTCTTGCCGTAGGTGCTATGCGCGTGGCACCGCCATGAATGAGCTTTGACAAAAACTTCCATCAATAATCCTGACGAATTTTTCCCAACTACAACAACGATGTAGTTCACTCAAACGCATCTATTACGTGCCGCGTAAAACATACACCGCGTGAAATCGAGAGAGGGCAAGAGGAACGGAGGAAGACGGTGGGAGGGATGGCAGCAGTGAGATGAAATCAAATGCTTCGGAGGCCACTAATCGACAGAAGCAACTATGTATGTTGAAGTTCTTTAGCACCGTACGTAGCCAACCGTGCTAAGCGGAGGTGCTTAAGGGGAGTAGAGTGAGGGCCTTGCCCAGGTGTGGAGGATTACAGACTGACAACAACAAACAACAACAAAACAATCTGAAAGCTGCACGCAGTTTGACCAAAAGTACAATCCTCAAAATCTTTATATATATGTTTACACGTACTTTAATTGAATGAAACGTTTGAATGTTGTATGGTACGACACATAGAAAACACAATGTTCAGACTAAATCTTGACTTAAAGCTTTCGTGACCGCAGTAATTCATATTCTTTGGGTCTTTCGCTAACGTCACGTAGATAGGTTCAAATTAAAGAAAATAACAAAAAAGGTTTCGATGTGTTGCGATCAAAATTTCGTAGTTTTTTGTTATTTTCTTTGAACCTATCTATGTAACTTTACCGAAAGACCCCAAAAAAAATTTAGACTGTAAAACAGATTTTTGGGGAAATCAACCGTCCGTGTGCTTTTGAAACTCGTGCCTATTTGTTTTTGAACCGTGTAAAAAAAATTTTGCTCCGTGTGTTGTGTTGTAGAGTGTGTTGTGTATTTATATCCAGTCCTGCTTACGGGAATACGCAGCCTCTTACCGCCTGCCGGTGCACGTGGCGATGGGAATGGCGCGCAAACCAAACCACTTTAAGGAAGCTGGAGAGAAAAAAAAACTAGGTTTGGAGGAACTTCGCTGCCCTGCCGTTATATCAACCGGGCCACATGCGCACCACGCGCATTTATAGAGGGGCAGTTTTTCATGTGTGACAAGTGCGTTTTCAGGCTACCGGGAAATGGGACAGGCCAAACTGGCACATTGCGGAACCCAAGGCAGCTGAGATTCTCTCGCGATGGCAGAGATATCTGCTCGCGGCCTGGCAGATTCTCTTGCATTGTTTGCGTTGCAAGTTAAAAAAAAAGGAGAAAAGCAAGCAAACTAAAACATCTTTGTCCTAGTTCTTTGGGTCTTTCGGTAAAGTCACGTAGACAGTAGGTTGTAAGAAAATAACAAAAAACATTGGACGTTTCGATCACAACACATGCGATCGTCATCACTCAAGACATAAAGTGGTTTTGATTTTTTGTTATTGCAACTTCAAACGTTTATTTTTCGTCGGGTGCTGAAAAAATAATGAAACGCAAAAGATGTTCTCGTGCGTGCACGCATGTGTCTGTGTGTGTGTGCGTGGAGCGGTAGCACAGCGCACTCCGCTACGAACCCGGCCCACCCGAGTTTGATTCCTGCTCACGGTCAACACCAGCGACGATTATCTGAACCGGTCCTGGGCCTCCTCTAGGTCGACTCAGCCTCAAATGAGTACCTGGTGCGGTGTGTAAACATCGCCACTGGAGAGACAAAGGCGGCCAGGCGTGGTGTTGGCCACCCAACCCCTCGTGTGCCGTGCCAGCCTTCATAGGTGCTCGCTAACAGCACTTGCTCCAACAGTCTGTTAAGGCTACATGGGGGATCTTGTGTGTGCGTGTGTGCCACAATTATTATAGTTGGCAGCACTTTGCAGGATTTAAACAAAACTATTGCTTCTACTGCATTGGCGGTGATGCGCAAGAATATTAATTATATATATGTCAACACCCGCTATTAACACTGCGCTAAAATAGACTATCTCTCTGCGGTGAAGAAGGATCATTCCGACTTAAAACTTTCGTGACTGCAGGAATTCATATTGTTGGTTCTTTCGGAAAAGTCACAGTAGATCGAACATTAAAATTAAATAAAAATAAAAGCAAAAAAACACGACGTTTCGATCGAAACATCGTGGGTTTTTTTTTAAAATGTTGCTTTTGTTTTTAATTTATTTTCTTTTAATTTAATTTCTATTCTCTATCTACGTGACTTTGCCGAAAGAACCAAGAATAAGGGTCATTCCCTGAAACAATGTAGGCAGAGGTTGGAGTTAGAAGATTATCCACGTTCTTCATGTCCGTGCCTGCCACGTGGTTTATGGAATCATCAGATGGTTTCAACATTCTTGCTGCCCTTCTGGTGGCGCGTGAGATTAAGATTCGCTCGGCGTGCTTGTTCCTCAATAGTAAATACTTGCAAACTGTTACACGAGCAAAATCACTGTGGTGGGCATCAAGCGGGTTCATGTTGTGGCTTTTCTGGTTTCTCTATGGAAAGTCCAAAAATGGCAACACAAACAATAAAAAACCAATAATAAGTATTTCCCATTTAAAATCGCATTCCACGTCAGATGTTGTATATGACGTCGATTACAATAAATGGTTACGGTTATTTCATTATTTAACGATGACGCTCCAATGTGTTTTCGGGGTTTTACCGTGTGTGTTTGTTATAGCTTTCATCGGATTCCACCAGGATTCTGATGATGTCCGATGTTTCAGACATCGCGCCTCTAAAAAAAAAAAGAGTTTCGTTTCTGAAAAAGGTCCCAGCATGTGAGGCGAAACGTCGGACACCATCCTGAACAACCACGGTGCAATCCCAAGACACGTCGGGGACAGCTGTGCAGCACAACCGAGACGAAACACGCGGTCGTGTTCTAACGATGAAGTCTGTGGCTGGAAGTTCACACCGCGTAGAGCAGGTGCGGGGAACCTTTTTGTTGCCAAGGGCCATTTGGATATTTTATAACATGATTCGCGGGCCATACAAAATTATCAACTTAAAAAATAGCCTGTTATATTTGGTCAAACATTCAATACTGGTAGGAACCTCCTGGTTACACCAGCCCACAGGGGATTATTGTGTCCGCCGTGCAGGGAGGGGCTGGGTGGGGAGGGAGGGGCTGGGTGGGGAGGGGAGGGTGGGGCTGGGTGGGAAGGGGAGGGTGGGGTGGGGCTGGGTGGGAGGGGTGGGGCTGGGTGGCGAGGGGCTGGTCACCCCGTGGTGCCCTTATAAAACTCAACGTTTAACCTACTCACGCCGGCTTGTGCCCGCCCTCACAGTCGGGCATATTTGCGGAATACACCACGCCGCCGTTGACCCTGGCCATTGACCGAGCAACCCAACGTTCCTACCAGCTCCCTCCGCAGGAATGTGTTTAACTCACCCCTAATGTGATGGCTGGAACTGCTTCTCTTAATTGTTGAGGCGTGTGATGTTAGCTGGTATTGATGATGCTGCTACTCGCAACTGCTTTTCCAGGTTTGCTCCGAGATTGATTGATTTTGGAGTCCCGCCTGCGGTTGCCTTGGCAAGGCCACACCAGATTATTCCGCGAGCCTCACACGGCCCGCGGGACCGGACGTTCCCCACCCCTGCCGTAGAGCTATGGGCTCACGATCACAAGGTCATGCCACACTACCCGATGTTCCAAACAGCTTCTGGACACCATAACCATTTCACTTATATTTTGACTGAAAACTTTCGTGACTGCAGGAATTCGTATCCTTTGGTTCTGTCGGTAAAGTCACGTAGATAGAAAAATAAGAATACAAAATAAAGTCAATAAAAAAAAAACACTCAGGTAGACTGCAGCCTGGTTCTTAATCGGAGTGAGTGTACTGGCAGTCTATAATGTGGACTGTAGCCTGGTTATTAAGCTGGGTGAGTGTACTGGCAGTCTATAATGTAGACTGTAACCTGGTTATTAAGATGGGTGAGTGTACTGGCAGTCTATAATGTAGACTGTAGCCTGGTTATTAAGCTGGGTGAGTGTACTGACAATCTATAATGTGGACTGTAGCCTTGTTATTAAGTTTGGTGAGTGTACTGGCAGTCTATAATGTAGACT